AGGAAACCAGACTAAGTGAATGAGTCTGACCTCCTGGCAGCCTGGCTCTCAGCTTCTTTGAGATTCTCAAACCCCCTCATTGCACTGAGGTGTGCATCCAGGAGGCATGCAAACTGTACGCTTACAAAATTCCTGGTATTATATTCCTGGTATAGCAGGAATGTTTCTTCATGTTTTATTTTAAAAGCAGTTTGGGTATTTCTGCATTTCATAATAGAAGAGCATTAAACATACAAACATACATAATAGTTGTAAATAAAATACAATTTTAAAAAGGTTCTAAGTTCAGATCATTGGAATTGTTGCTTTTAAAAATTAAAGTGTCTTAAGCAATGACATTTCAGACCTGGAAACAAAATGGAGCAGAGAAGCCAATACTGCTGGCATGTTCTGGTGAAAGCCAGTGTTTGGTTCTAGAGTTCCACAAAAAAGAATTTATCTAGCAGTGAGTTGTTATTTATTCCAAAATTCCTTGCTGTAATTGGGGAGTAATAAATGTATTTCACATCTTCTCAGCTTTTCTAAGCATTTCCCTACATTTCCCAAGAAGGATGTCACCTGCTTCTTTTTCATAGGTTTTGTCTGCTTCTCACAATGCTTCATGTTCATTTGTTTGCATCACATCCACAGACATGTGGACATGTCTAGTAAACAGTTATTCATTGTCCCAGCTTTCTTACCTAAAGCAACACTTTCCTGACTTTAGGTGGGAAGTGTCAGCAAGCCAGTGAAAAACCACACCATTTTATGCTTCTGATTCAAATTGTATATAATAATGCAGTTTAATCTATCATTTTTCTTTGAAAATCATAGCTTAGGAAAGAACATTATGAGGAAACAATGAAAACCAGTAACCATTTTGCATAAATTTTTGCAGGGTGCCCTATTATGTAAGTTGGTGCAAGAACCTTGCAAGATGGAAAGGCTTCTGGGGCAAATATTTGTCACAACTGAATGGTGGGTGCAACTTTCCACCAAACCTTTAACGTCCACTTTGGACTTCTATTTGGGCCTGTTAACAACAACACTATCAAAAGCTTTAGGCACACCATGTTCCCAAAATACAAATTTTGTTTTTTCTCATGCGTCACTCATGATTGGGGACAGAAGTGCTGGAGGGGCAGGCTTAATTCAGTCTTTGTGGAAGTGCAGGGAGGTAGAGTTAATGCCCAAAAAGCATTTGAGAAAAGAATGGGGCCTGATTTAAAAGCACTCAAGTCTCAAGGCCAGTTACTTTCTCTCTGACAGTAAAGAGGCTTTTTATTTTCAGACCAGGCTGCACTAGATCCCCTTTTAATTATCAGGGAGTGCCATTGCACTAATTGTGGATAACACATTTGCCATTGTTGGGGCACATGATAATGAACACAGCAGTTTTAAGTGTTGAAAATGTTATCTTGTGTCACACACACATACAATTGTGGGAGAAGTAGGAGGAATTGGAAAGGGAACAGAAATGGCCCTTTTTAAAAAACTTGTTTTTTTCCATCTGTTAAGCTATGAGCAAGTGCAAAGGAGGAGACAAGCAGAGATTTAAAAAGAAAAAAAGAGGGCTACTCTTACCCCCTCATAAAAAATAATCGAGAGAGAAGAGGAGAGGCTATGATGCTACTTCCTACTCTTCTTCCATCTCCCATGGGGTGAAGCCAGCAGGCTTAGTAACCCCCGTTCCCTTCCACCCAAAAGCAGTTCCCAAAAGTAAGCTCAGTCCCTCCCCCATGCTGACTTTTGTAGAGTAAGTACCATTGGGGACAATGTGATTTACTTCTGATTAAGCAACATTGATAATAATAGGATTTACTTTCGTGTTGCTGTGTAACCACTGAGGAAATGTAGTCGCCTTCTGAGTAAGCACCATTGGAAATAATGTGATTTTCAGCTAGTTGTATCTTACAGGGGAGGGGGAAGCAGCATTGCATTTACTGTGCAAGTAAGAAAAACAGAGAGAAAGAGAGAAGTCATGGGGTGGGGAATGATGAAGGAGGTGGGAAAGCAACCAAAGGCTGATCAGACTTCTCTTCTTCTCTGAGCTGCTGCTCTTTCCTCTAAGCCCGAAAGGGCACATCCTACTCCTCACCCCACTTAAGCTACTTTCCTTCCCCCTGACAGTATTGCAGTTTAGAACACACTGTAATATATACCTTGGGAAAAACACAATAAATCAAAGCCTCATCATAGAACTAGTCTGAAGGAATCTATGATGCGATTGCAGAAGTAACATAGCATGGAGTGAGCATCATGTGACACTTCAGTGAATCAGGCATTGCAGTGCAGCTAAGAATGCCTAGTGTGGATCCTGCCCTCCAGGAGAAAGTGTAGGGAGCTGCTAACAAGGTTGGCTCAGAGGTCTGAATATCCTGCAGAACTCCAGGTGTTCTTTTACAGCTGTATGTTAAAGACTGGAGGAGAGTCTAAGTACTTAAGGATGGGAAGGGGCAGGATATACAGGGTGGGCCTAAGGCACCGATTGAATCATGCTTGAAATGTCCTCTATCAGTGTTGCAACATTCCTGGGACCTGTCCCTGATTCTGTGACACAAATTCTGGTCAGCACTAATGTTGAAATGGTGGTGAACCAGATGAATTCCTTCAATCTGTCCACTGTGTGAGGTCCTCCATGACCCAATTAGTACTTTGGGCCCATCTTGTATAAAGGTTCTGAGGGGTCCTGAATGTGCCTTGTAACCATTTATGTGATGTGCTTGTGTGCTCCTAAACTTAAGACGCTCATGAAGCTCTTTTCCCCAAGTGCATGTTCAAACCATTGTTTTTAGAAACGAGTCATTGATAGTGACCTAATCCAACTACTTTGGGGGGCGGGGGGGTGGTCTCTGTCTTGAGCAGAGTTCACAGCTGGGTTTCCACAAGAAATCTGTTAAGAACCACAAAACACAAGGGGGAAAAACAGTGTTCTACCTTTTACAGAAGATGAGAACTATTCTGAAGTTTGAGTGAGCAGGCACTAAAATACGTATGCTTGGCATACCTGGGGGCGGGGGGGTTGCCCTTCCTGGTTAAGTCTTTAAATGAATGTTTATGCAGTACAAGTAGACACACTCTACATTTTGTAAGTATAGGTGCATTCTTGACTGCCACTGGAAATGCTGCTTCCAATAATCCAGGGACTGTTGAAGTGTGAAAAGGGGAAGCCTCCATCCATCCCTCTATGCAGATAGAGGTGTGCATTGCTGGAATTCTTGCTGCTGAATGAGAGAAAAACCACACTGCAGTTTTGATCATTCAACACAGAAATGTACTATTCTTAAATTTTGGAAGGAACTCTACCAAATTTTAACTGATGCATGACTTCAGATAGCCTCTGTTTTCTGTTTCCCTATTTAATTGCATAAGAAATGCTATTGTAGGAAACCTTAAAAGGAAGTCACCGGAAAATGTGAAATGTTAGCTGTGTTCTCTTTTGTTTTAAGTCTTTAATCCATTAGAGGAAAAACCATGGCACTAACCCAAGTAAGAGGATATGATTGAAAGCCAGGAGAAGAGAGTAGCTTGGGGGGGAAATGTCCAGTAGAGGGCAATCAGAATGCACTTTCTTCATGTCAACATTTCCTCTGAAGCAGGAACATCTTAGTTTAGCCAAAAGTATAATAGAACTTCTGGAACTAAGGCATATTTACTAAATTTTGTTGATAAAATGAGGCTCTTATGTAGTTCCTAATGTGTCTTGGATGTTCCAACAGATAATATTGGACATTTCTAGCACTGGTTATATCTAGAGTTGAATATGTTGATAGGCCACATATTTGTACAAATTATAGGAAACATGTCTGTATTGTATATTAATTTTGCAGCTATCTTTTATGTATGAATCTCTGGTAAATGAAGAGTGAATCAGGCTGTTTTTGCTGCCCCTTTGTTCCAGAATGGAAATTAGGAGATCCTATTCCTCTCTGGCTTGTATTACAATGGGTTACATGATCATTTATAGAATCATAGAATAGTAGAATTGGAAGAGGCCAGAGGGTCATCAGGTCCAGCCTCCTGCTCAGTGCAGGACTCCAAATTAAACCATCCCTCTCAGATGGCTGTCCAATTGCATCGTGAATGCCTATAGTGTGGAAGAGCCCCCAACCCCCCCCCCAGGTAATTGGTTCCCTTTGTTTAAAAAGTTTTGATTAAGCAGTTTTCTACCCTAAGAAGACCTAAGTATATTAGCCTTGAATGTAATTCTTCATTAGAATGGGACACGCATAAAGGAGGAGTTACTAACTGTATGATAACATCCCTACAAACAAACAACTTAAAGATAGGAAACTTAATGCCAATTTAGTATTAGTAAAGAATGGGAAGAAGAGTGATATAGAATAATGTTTTATGTTTCTTTTGTTATATCTTAAATTATGAGTAATATTTCCTTTTTTAATGATTCTTGATTTGCTAATTTTGCAGTGTGCAGAGCTCTTGACAGTGGTACATCTAAGCGAGAAACAGAATTGTTTCTGCCTTACTATCTTAAATGTTTTGGTGCCTTAGGATGATTGCTTTACTTCATAGGTATAGATTCCAAACTGTACCTTTTAGTCAAATGAAATGTCCTAAATCCAAAGCTGAGTAAGAAATTACTACTGCTGCTTCCATGGGCGGTGGTTGAGGCCTCATTGGTGAGGGTGTTCAAGGATAGGCTGGTCATGCACATAGTAGGCCTGTTATGAGCGGAACCGGCTAGAGCTGGGAGTCAGACTAGATGGCCCGGGAGGCCCCTTCTGACTTGCTCTGTTTCTATGTTTCTGTGTTCTGTTATATCCACTACACAGTTCTTGGCAACATCATATAAATACTTACCAAATAAATTTGTCTTGGTAATGACTGTTGTGACTTACTTCATAAAGATGAAGGATTTTCAAAACTTCTTGGGGGCATGAATTCATATACTTCATAAATTCCATAATGAAGGGAGAGTTCTGTGTAGTGGATGCCTCTTCCTTGTTCTGGGCTCATCATATTTCCCAATATTAACTGTCTGTTCTTATTTCTCCATAAAGGGGCCGACACCTTGAGTGAGACCAGCTCTGTCAGCCTGGAGGGCACAACCGACAGCAGAGATACTTCAGTGGCTACCTCCATTTTGTCCCCCTTCATGTCTGGCCACAGCCGAGATGAAGCAGACAATCGCAGCGAGCACAGCTACAGCGAGTCAGGGGCCAGTGGCTCCTCCTTCGAGGAACTGGATTTGGAAGGCAATGGTGATGGAGATGGCATGGTGGGTTTGCCATCTGACCTCAGTCCTGCTGGGGACCATGACATTGCCAAGGCCAAGGGGGTCAAGGAGCCTATTGCCCTGGAGAAAGAAAGGGGTGAAGAATAAAGCCATCTCTATACTCTTGTTTCTTAGGGATTGAAAAGAGAAACTGATCATATCTCTTGCTTCCTTTCTGTCCAGCCAAAAGATTTTGGTCACTGATTCATGTTGAGACCTGTCCTACTCTTTGTCTGCAGACAAGTATTTGAGGTGTGATAAAGGAGGAGAAAATTACATACAGGGGAATTGTAGCTGATTGCCATGCTCCTCTAATCAGATGAAGGATACGTGCTGCTACAGGAAGATGAGAATGGGAAGGGCAGAAGTGGTGATGGGGAGCTCATGATAACACTGTGCATCCCCATGTGTGTGAATATGAGCTGTGGGGTGAGTGACTATGCAGGTAGCACTTTATGTGGGCTAATAGTTGCCTTTATGTATAGATTGTCCCCTTACCTTTCTCTCTCACTCTTCCTCCCTCCACCCCCCCATCATTTGTTTCTCTGCAACTTGCACAGATTGGCACCACATCCCAACACCAAAGAGCAGTAGTTATATTTAGAACTGGAAAATGTAGTTCAAACCTTTACTCCCTAAGAAGACTTGTGCATTTTCCTAATCTGTACTACCATTAACAGCTCTCCTTTGAAGAGTGAAGGTTTATGAGCCGGGTTGCTGTGATCCCAAGCACTCTACTTTCTTTCTCATTCTTTCCCACATACCCATGCAGCCTAGTTTCACTGTCTCTCTTTTAGACTGCACAATGATAGAATAAACCAGGTTCTTCGTAGTCACAGTTGTTGCACCCGTTAACATCTGTTGGTGTGCCCAGGGAACCAACCTTGAGAAGTCCCTTGCCTCACTTTGCCTCAGATACAAAAGGTAGCCCATCTGAAAGATTCAACTGTTGCTGCTGAAATTAATGAATATCCTCTCCCTGCTGTCCCATCAAAGAAGCTGTAGAGAATGTATAATTACCACAGCAGTACAGGTCAGTGGTACAACAGAGTCAATGCATCCATGTCTTTCCCATGCTGGTCCTCAGAGGTTGTGATGTGATGGTAGTTCAGTTCAGGAATGAAGATTCCTGTGTTGAGTACTGTAATGTAGCAGAAGGTTTGCTGTGGTAACCATAGTGGATTTGACATAATGTTGTGTGCCAGAACTTCCTGGATGTTATGACTTGGAGAAGCTGCATATTCTGCCCTTCTGCAAGATAAGAATTTATTTGCTTCCAGTACAAATAATTTATTTGCTTCCAGTAGAAGGATATGTGAAGATGGTCCTCTCTTTGCATTAACAATATTTCTGGATGGTGGGTAGTTGTGGCACTACGCCAGTTTCCTCCCTGCTATATATAAAAAAGTTCTTGCACTAGGGTATCATTTGACAAGAACCATGTCAATCAATCTGCATCCTCTGAGCTCCATAACTATGGTCTGAGGAAAAAGTAACCAGGTCAGCAGGAGGGAGAAAATATTGATATGTGTGTTTCAGGGTGGGGGGGTGGTGAAATATATAAAAGTTCTGATCCTCCCCACCACATTCTTGCTCCTCTTGCTGACATCCTCTCTGTAGAGGTCTTGGATCAATGGCTCACTCTGTTTCTTAATGGACTTGAATCCATACGGTGAGCAAACGAGTTCAATGATTAGCCACCTTCAGACCTCAATTGACTCAGCCTAGAAGGAAATCAATGAGATGCAGTGTTAGAACTTACTCATTGAGCTGTGTAGCCATAAGGCTACTTAGCTCCCCCTCCCTCTGTAAGCAGTCACCACTGATTCCTTACTTTCTTCTTTTTATTATTATTTTTGTGGTCTGCAATGTTTCTGTTTCTTAATGCTTTCTGTCCATGATTTAAAATCAATACTCATGTTTCCCCAGTCCTGATTTACCATGGCATCCATATCAGTGCTTGCAGTGTCCTTGAAATTAGTATGATTGATGGAAGCAGACCCATGCTAAAAATGGGAAATTGGATATGTTCCATGCCCCTTAAGGCTGAAGTTGGTGTAAGTTCCCCACGTAGAATGCTCACTGTTGGGTGGGTGTTCTCATCTGCCTGGGCATTACTTCATCCATTGCACTACACATCTGGTGTTTTGTAGTGAAGTACATGGAACATCATTGCAAGAACCCCATTTTAGCAATGCTTTCCTGTGCCTATTGCTAAGTAAGGCTTCTGAACTGTTTGCATTAAGTGCCTGTTCACAGTGTGTCTCTGCACATGTATATCTATGTGCAAATGGGCGTACATGGCTGTCTCTTTCCTTAGACATGTGTCTTTGTTTGTACTTCTGTATCTGTCTATGTTCATTAAGGGCATAGAGCTACATGCACTTCTGGGTACAGACTCAGGGCCAAGCTAGATATGACACCATTCACACAATTGTTAATTGTGTGAATGATGTTATGTCTAGTTTAAACCTCATACTGTATGCATGTCTGTCTGTATTCATACCTCTCAAGCACTCTCTTTCTGAGTCATGGGGTGCTATTAGGATAAAGGTAAAGGAAGGAACAGTAGGAGGCATGCAGATAATACTGTATTATGCCCTTCTCCAGATTTCAGTTGACACACAACAAAAATACTCTTCTCCCTTTGTTGTGCTGGGTGGTGGTGGTAGTTCTTTGAAGAAAAGGGAGAGCAAGTAATATTTTCCCATCTTACAGTAACTGCTGCATACTTGTGGATTCTGTTATAATGAAGGCAAGGATATCAGTATCAAAAGCTTCTTTCTTATATATGATGATTTATTTGTATAGTGTTTTGACTAACCTCTCAGTGTATATAGGTGGGCACTGTACATCTTCATGTGTTGCCATGTATGACCATGCATCCATATATGAGTATATGATTGTATCCTGCATCATTTTCTATACGTATGAAGCATGTGTGCGGAAAGTGGGTAAATCAGCCATTCTGCTTGCTCCATTACACATGTAGCCCCTTCTACATATGCACAAGTTAATTGGCTGCTTAATTCTTAATGGTGTTTATAGAGATACTTCACAAGACAAACATATACTATAGCTCTTCATCTGATTATATCACATCATGGAGAATTACTCCTGCATCAAAACACATGGGAAATGAATGTGGCAGGCAGCAAAATATTCCCAGATATTGAAAGCTTGTAGCAGGAAGGGAGAAGACTAAGCTAGATGCTTTAACCTAGTCTGTTACCTTACATGCAAGCATTCATCATGCAGTGAGATTTTAACAAGAAAAAAAGTTTCCAAACATGGAATCTCTCATGTATATTCTTATGTATGCTATTTGTGTGGAAAAATTGGATTACATGACTACCAGAAATTTGCAGTGGCTCAGGTATGAACCTTTGATTGGATGGCGTTTTCTTCTTCGAGAGTAAATCTCTCCTTACCCATCTTTGAATACAAGCCAGATGGACCCAAAAGAAAAAAAATCATTTTTATTCTGCCTAAGAGGAAGCTTGAAGAATGTTTTGCCTTGTGCTGGAAGTTGGGAAGCAAAGCTGCTTTGGAAAATTTAGAGAAATTGTGCTGCATGTAAAATTTGTGAATAAGCTGCTACGCTGGAACTGTTCACACTGTGTGTTTGGGATGAGCAACTGATAGATCACTAAGGCTCCCAGCGGTTGGGGAAGCGGCCCTTGCTAGTACAATGGTAGCAACCCATTCTGGGGTATTCCTGTGCATTTAATGGTACTGCCATTTTTAATGGTTGGTTTATGACAGGTAGAGGGTGCAATAATGACATCTTTCTATCAATTATGGCTTTAATATCCCAATTAGACACTTAAATTACTGAATTGAACCCATTGACAACCCTGCCATGACCAGGACAAAGGACCAGAGAAGCCACTCAAACAAATGTTTCCAGCTATACTCTGTCTTTGCCAAAATCTTCCATAAAAGGTTTGCTTTGTATAAAGAATTTTCTGAGTTAGATACATATAGCTTTTGCAGGAATGAGCACCAGGCCTAGCATCTCTTTCCTTTCAAAAAAAAACCCCTTCTGTCCATCAAAAGAATGTAGATCTTAAATGCAGAATGTAGTGGCAGCCTATTAGTTATCATTGTTGTGAATCTCCATTGTTTTGCAGACAAGTAACTGTAGAGATGAGCCCAGAATCCTAAAAGTATATGGTGTTGTATGCCACCCTCACTTGTGCTGATCAATAGAGGTTTTTCACTGTGTGTGTGTGTGTGCGCGCGTGTGAAAGAGAGAGAGAGAGAGAGAGCCTTTTCCCACTAATATCTCAGACTGCTTCAGGCATTTTTCATATGGCCACCTCTTTCCAGGGGCATAACTCAAGCCTGCCCTTACTAGACAGTTGTCTGGGTAATCTGTTGTTGGATACTCTGCTTCTGCGGCCAGTCTGGCATTCGTATCTCTCCCTCTCTATCTCTCTCTTGGCATTTGCTGTGATTGTGAGGGACTGGGCGGTGGGACAATTACTATCCATCTGTGGTGAGAACACATGATGTGGTGAGGACACATCAGCGCATCGCAAGAACAACAAATGTTTCATCTCTTTCATTCTAATTGCAATGGAATCAGTTTGCCACAGCAGAAATTACAAACAATAGCTTTGTAACCTACAACTGGAATATAATACTATGCTTCACAATTAACATACACAAACAGAGGTAGGTAGCTATTCTAACTTCAGTGCTGCCTCCTTGGGACATTTTGTCATGTAGCTTTCTTAACATCTTCCTTTCTTGAACCTAAATATCCATTGGTCTCAGCATCTCACTTTTATTAGTATCATATACTGTGCATTAATAAGATGATCAATGGATTTTGAAAGATCTCTGGTGTCTAATCAGAAGTTCTTAACAATTATAAAAGTTCATTTTTCATCATAGTGAGGTTGCAGTGTTTCTGAAAGTCCAGAAATCTGTCCAACAGAATGTTTAGACAGCACAAAATGCAGTCCATGGATTTTTCTTGATAGTGTCCTTGAAGCCAAAAAGTTATAGTAATGAAAATTTTGATTCCTGATAAGAGCTTGTTGTGAATTTATTTAATGCTATGGTGTTTTGGTTGGGTTTTTTGCTTTACTGTACTTTCTCTTAAGATTCCCCTCTTTCTATGCTCACTGGTGAGTCAAAACACATTTCCAGCTGCAAAAGCCTGGACAAAAACATCCTTTGCATATAAAGAAATTCAGAATGTGCCCTAGATACCCCACTTGCAATAGACTTACATATAAATGGAAGTTAGATTTAGATCCAAGATCATACACCTCTTCTTCCAGCCTTCTCTGAAAAGAACGAGTTTCAATTGCCCTCTCTATTTTCCTTTTCAAAGTTAGATTCAAGCACTATTTCATTGGTACATAAAAGTCACCACATATAGGTGTCTGGGCTTCTATATTTAAACTTTAAAGGCTCACATATTACATATTGTTAATAATTTGGAGATAATAGTTTCTGCCTGCACTTGAAGTTAGTTGGTCGTATTCTGAAAAACTCCCATAGTAAAGCTAATTTGTGGTTTGAGAGCAGAAGTAAAGTTAATAATCTTAAGCCCAATCATTTGCTATACAAGAGGTAACTTGCAAAACTGAAAATGGCACTCAGTGTGTTTCTATGTATACAGGAAGCAATATTCTTTGGACCGGAAACCTGCGGGTTGTCATTGAATGAACAGCCTGCATTGAATAGGGCATAGAAATGACAGCTTGGTGCTTGTTTGTAAGATGCTGGCTAAGCTGTTATAGAAGCATGTTTCTTCTACAACAGCTTGGTTGGGTGGCCCCAGTTGGGTGGCCCTGACATGAAAAATACTTTTTCTGTTATGTATTTAATCACTATTTTGATATAATGTATAAGGCTTAAAGCAATCTATATGCCAGAGTGGTTTAGACATAAGTTTTGGGAATGGGGTGGGGTGGGGTGGCTTCCTTGTTGAAATTAAAAATGGCTTACAAAAAACAACCCCCTGGCCTCACTCTGTGAACACTCCAAACCAGCCACAGTGTAACTGCCTGATCCATTTTTGATACTGGCATGTCTTACAGCTAACAGCAGGACCACTCTGCAAGTACTGAAGGAAGTACGATGTTTACAGCTATTCTGCCGTTGGAAAATGTATGGTGATGTTTTATATCTTGGACTTCCCTTGGAATTGTTTGAGTGGTTACAACATTCTGCCATTTCAGGATATATAAAATGGAATTCTTTTGCTCTCCTGCAGATAATAAGAATGTTCATAGTAGATCAGAACATAGATCTATCTAGTCTAGCTTTCCCTTGTCACAGTGGCCAACCAAATGCCCCACTGTGAAGCCCACAAGTAAGACAAGGGAGCTCTAGCATTTCCAGACTCAGTTTCTAAAACTGGTGCTCAGAGGCAGGTCAAATATAACCATCATGACAAATAGCCATTGATAGCCTTACCCTGCATGAAGCTGTCTTATACTGTGGAGTCCTTTGTCTGATACTGTGGAGTCAGACAATTTGTCGATTGATCCCAGCATTGTCCACTCTGACTGTGGTGGTTCTCCCATGTTCTCAGATGGTCCCACGTTAGGTCTTTCCTAACAAAGTGACCTGAAGTTATTTAACCAAAGATCTTACTAAGCCTGACTGTTTGCACTCTGCCATTGACCTATGGCACCTCTCAGTGGAGTGGAGTGATAGTAGAGCTGCCATCACATCCAACCTTCTGCTCCACTTCCACGTGTGGTCACGCATCTGAATGCAAGCCCATGCTCTTCCAGTTTAGCAAAGGTGACTCAGTGTGCTAGCTTGAAGACTGAGAGACATACACTGATGCCCCATCCCATGTATCATTAAATTTAATTAGGAAAGTGCAATATTTTCAATCCTGCATAGATTTATTTGGAAGTAGGTCCCACAGAACAAAGTGGGATTTAAACATGCATAGGCTCAGGCTGTGCAGCCCTGATCTAAGCACACTGGCAAAAGAATCCCACAAATGGGACTCTCACAGGATTTGTTTTGCATAATTACAAAATAGAACATGTAATAATGACTACATAGATAATCTGTGATGAGATACATTTAGAGTAACGTACAGTTCTTGTTACTCTCAAAAGAGACTGCAAAAGTTTTAAAATGATCAAGGGGCTTGACAACTTACCTTATTGGGGTGGGAGGAATGAATGGTATGCAGCAAATTTACATTGTTGTGGGGCATGACTGAGGGGACACATTCAACAAGATGGACAACTTCAGGTGGTACAGGGGCCATTTTTTTCCTCCTTATGGACTGCCCTCTGCAAGCTGCCACACAACATACAGGTACCCACCGGAAAGAGGAAAGGTAAAATTTGCTACTTTGCTGCCAGAATCAGCAGCAAACTGCTCCAGAGTGGAGCAGCCATGGGAAATCTCAGGTATTTTCTTCCTGATGAGAGGAGAAACCTCTGCGGACTGGATGGAGACCCTTTTCTGGCTGCATTCAGCCGATGGCCTAGAGGTTACCCATCCTTGCTTTATTGTAAAGATGATCAGAGCAGTTTCAGAAATACAAATGCATGCATGTCTCCAGGATCACAATTACCCAAGAAGAAAACATGGTATACATAGACACGCCGATTCTGGCTGGGAAAGCCCAAGACAACAGAGAAAAGTGGGCAAGGAGCACACGGCTCAAGCATCAGAGATCTGAGCAAGGGAATGTTCCCCTGGACCATCCATCGCAGAGCATGCTACAGCGCAGGAGCCAGAATGGTCAAGTAAGTTGATAATCCCTCAGGAAACAGTTGGATGCATCCTGGGCTACTGCTGATGGAGGTGGGGTGGGCTTCCCCCATAGTCTACACAGAAGGTGGTTGTTTCTTGGTCCCGTCAACTGCACCCACTGGAAAGCGGCTGAGGAAGAGAAATGCGCAGTGATGAGGGAGATGAAAGACTTGGTTCCAGAAATTGAATGACTGTGATCATAGTCACCCCTAAAGGTTGCAAGGCAAACATACTCGGAAGCCTCTAGCCAGCAGTAGTAATGGTTGGGGAGGTCTAAGTGTTTCTTCTCCTTCCTGCTACTGGGATAGAAAGGAGGTAGTGCAATACAGCTGTGACAAAACTGAACTTTCACACCTGGCAAAGAACTTGGTGGGGAAGGAGACATGGGGAACAGCACAGCAGTTCTACTTGGCGGCGAGTGTTTCCACCTGCCTTTGCTTCTTCATGTGGAATGCTCTCTCTCGGCAAGTCCAGTTGTCAGAGCGGAGTGGTGTTGGGTGTTTATGTCCGGAGGCTTCTAGGCAGAGAACACGTCAGCCGAGCATTCACATTCCCGTGTGTTCTGTTTGGCCAGGTGAGTTTTGTACAAAGCACTCCCTTTCTGAGCAGAATGCCATTGCTCCATAGTTAGCCAGGTGAGAGTTTCACCTGCTGAGCTCTAAGCGTGCACATCAGAGGGGTAAGACTGAGGCTCTGCTCCCCACCCAGCATCTGAGTTAGGGCCCCCCTGAATGGGATAGATATTGGTGGTGGTATGCTGTGATTAGGTGCTGCATTACACTGTATGCTATGCTCTGTGGTGGTCTGGCTTTTAAAAATGTCTTCCATTGAGATTGATGTGAAGTGATGTCAGAAGGGGCATGGTAATGGATTGAAGTGGTGTGGGATACAGTGTACATGTGCTCCTTGTCTCCAGCCCACCTGCTACCCATGGCTGTCCCATCTTCCTAGTTTTTCACACGCATATCTCAGGTGCTCTGCTAGCACTTGCTGGCATGTATTGCATTCTACTGGAGTAGCAGAGCTTCCACCTGATCCTACAGCTCCCTCAGCTGGCTGATTTCAAGCGAAATTCTATTGCACCCTAAGTCTATCTTTTCAAAAGGTTATTTGAGAAAGTGGAGGACAAATCCCCAAGAACACTCTTGGTATTGGACAGTATTCCACAACCTGGTATCCTCCAGGTGTGTTGGACTACAAATCCCATCACAGGCAGTATGACCAATAGGCAAGTTCCCACAGCCCAGAGGTAGGCAGTTTTTGGCCTTCCAGATGTTTTGGGCTGGAACCCCATCATCCCTCACCATTGACTATGCCAGCTAGGACTGATGGGAGTTGCCAGACAAAACATCTGGAGGGCTACAAGTTGCTTACCATGGTGTAGGCTACTGTGGGCTTCCTTCCCTGCAGATGAAGATGAATGTCAGCAGATGGAGACTCCTTGTTGTGCTGGTCGAAACCACTGCACCGTTGCTTCTCTGCCTTCAGTGGTTGTAAGGGAGGAAGAGGCATGTTGTGCAAGGATCAGGGTAGGCCTCCAATCCCAAAGCCTTGACATACCCCCCAAATAGGGTTGCAATGATCTTACCTGGAACACGTCTCTTCAGTTCATGGTCTTCCTCTTGAGCTCATGAAATCCTGCTCACGCAACCAAGAATTTTCTTCCGTGTCATGTGAAGCATAATCAAAGGCTGCGAATCCTGTGCAGAGAAGTGGCAGGCCATTTGTGCTGCGACCACACAAGGCTCAAATCATGGTGAGGGTTTTGAAAACACTTGGTGCACTCACCAAGATCTTGGACCCATGGTCCCAAGAAAGCGGGTTGGAGTCTAGAGAGCTGAGCCCAGGGAATCTGATGGATTCCCGCCCCAAAATGCATTTCTCACACATCCTTACCCCAAAGCATCCCAGAAACTATTCTAGACTTGGAATTGGTGTACTTAATTTCTCCTTCAATTGATATCAGCGAGGAAATCCTTACATTGTCCCCTGATGTGCCCAGGTCACAACTAACTGCTTCTGCATTGCCCTTTATTCTTGCTGATATGCAACATGTCGTGCTTGGAAGGGCAGGTTCACGTCTGGCATTTCACCCTGGTGTTGCATGTCATGATTTAAACTATCTTCAGTGTGTATTTGTGGCTCTGAATTTTATATAATTTTATATCCTCAGTCAACAATTTCCTTAATGGGGCAAAGCAACCACCTTCCTTTTGGGCCTTCTAAATTACTAAATAAAACATAATGAAACTATGCAAAGGAGAAAGTTGTACAAAAGTTTTAGCCA